AGGCCACGAGCCCCTAGTAGTGTCCTTGCTCCTACTAGTAAGGCCACGAGCCCCTAGTAGCGTCCTTGCTCCTACTAGTAAGGCCACGAGCCCCTAGTAGCGTCCTTGCTCCTAGTAGTAAGGCCACGAGCCCCTAGTAGTGTCCTTGCTCCTACTAGTAAGGCCACAAGCCCCTAGTAGCATCCTTGCTCCTGCTAGTAAGGCCACGAGCCCCTAGTAGCGTCCTTGCTCCTAGTAGTAAGGCCACGAGCCCCTAGTAGTGTCCTTGCTCCTACTAGTAAGGCCACGAGCCCCTAGTAGCATCCTTGCTCCTGCTAGTAAGGCCACGAGCCCCTAGTAGCGTCCTTGCTCCCAAGGCCAGCTCCTGCTGAGAGATTCTCAAGAAACACATGGGATTTCAGGACAGTAAAGCTTCAGCTTGCTCATGCTGAAGCATGTCCGCCCTGATCACTCTTAACATGCAAGATTGATCCTCTGGTGTCTGAAAACGGGAGGCCCTCCGCTCGCAGGTCTTACAACAAGCGTGGTGGGGAACTAATCCGTTCATCAAGCAAAAAGTAGAAGATGTTAAATCTCAGGCCAGCAGCCAAGCAATCCAACCTATAGATGAATTTCACCTTGTCGTTTTTGCCTTGGTGCGCTGGGCAGCCCACTAGTGCAGCAGAGAAAACGCTTAGGGCTTAGTGCTCAGGCGGCTTGCGTCATCTCACTGACAGAATCATGGACACATGGAAACCAACGTTTGCCCCACGAATAGTTATCTTCTGTGGTGCAAATCCAGCTGAAAACGTACTCAGTGTGTCAGTGTGTGCATGGTTTGTTTCCTTCAATGTTGCTTCCCATTGTCCAGCTTGCAAGTCTCAGCCCGCTCGCCCCTTTGAAGAGGGACCCTCCCTTGCGTTGCAGAGGCCGATATGGAACAAGAGTATACAAGAGTCACGAGCGCCAGGCTGGAGAGCGGAAGACAAGCTCTTGGTGCGTAATGTAGGCTCTTGATGCCTCCCATTTGGAGTGTAAAACCTCTTTTAATATTTTTAGTTTACACACACATAGATAGATAGATAGATAGATAGATATTAGATAACAGACAGACAGACAGACAGACAGACAGACAGACAGACAGACAGCCAGCCAGCCAGCCAGCCAGGCAGGCAGGCAGGCAGGCAGACAGACAGACAGACAGACAGACACACAGACAGACACACAGACAGACACACAGACAGACAGACAGACAGACAGCCAGGCAGGCAGGCAGGCAGACAGACAGACAGGCAGACAGGCAGACAGGCAGACAGACAGACAGACAGACAGATAGATAGATAGACAGATAGATAGATAGATAATCCCCCAAACACCGCAGCTTTGGGCACGCTCATCAATTCAAGGCCCCCCGCCCCCGTCGTCCAGACCCTGGGCCCCGGCGCAAGACCAGAATTGGCTTTTGAAGGAGCGATGGCCTCCACCCTACTAATGGCAAAAGGAACCTACGGCCTCCAACCTAAGAGCGATGGCCTCCAAACTACTCCAACCTACTAGCGATGGAACCCTCGTCCAAAACTACCCCCGGGTTTGGCCCAAGCAGCTGAAGGCCCTCTGTGCAATCATCGCAGAGCTGTGACTGCCCAGCCTCGCAGATGCGGGAGGCTGGGATAAGGACGGTGCAGGGCGTCAGACGTCGGAGACCGTCCAAGCAATCAAAGAAAAACAAAACCGGTTCGCGGGGGGCAATTCAAAGATGGTACCGTATTGTTAGCACGGTACCCGATAACGAAGATGAGTCTGCCATGATGGAACGCCGTCATGAGAGACTTGTTGGCGCTTGGCCACAGTAGGTCTACGTTAAATTGCCATCAGACTGATGTTTGCCCCCCTCGCACGGTTCAACACTGTGAAGCTCCATCACCATGGTATCTACAGTTAGTCATCTGTCCTCTTGTTTGTGTGTCTTCAACTATAAATCGCTGTCAGACCCTTTGGCTTCTGGCTCACTCAACAACATTCCAGGCAATACAATCTAGATTTTATTGCATTTTCAAACAGCACATGTCATTGGTTTCGGAAGCCTTTGGACACTCAGAAAGCGTTCTCTCTACCCCATGAATGAACAGGCACCAGCGGAGACCTTTTTACGCAATCAATCCGCCACAGACATTGATCTGGTGATGAACCATGCGCATCCGTCACCTCTTCGATCCCGCTGCCCAACCTTGAAACCTAGAAGCTACGAAACAAAAAACACCCTCAGAGGGAGAGAGAGAGAGAGAGCGCGCGCGAAAAAGAAAGAAAGAAAGAAAGAAAAAAAAGATAAGTAAAGTAAAGTAAGAACTCCGGCCCACAACCATAGTTTCAAGCAATTTGGAAGCATCCACCACACCCTTGCCATTCTAGAAAACACTGATCTGCATCCATCAACCAGGCCCTAATGACGGCAGGGGCGAACCGATCACCCCCAAATTTCCAGCATCAGAAACTCGAACCGCATGTCAGGGAAAAGGAGATGATAGGAGACGGTTCTCTTTCATTTCATCTTTTCGAGCCTGCAAAGGCCCCTCGATAAAATCCCTCACACCGACGACTTGGCTGAGGCTCGGTTGGCTGCCGGGGCTGGTCTCCTGCTCCTCCTCGTCCGTCTTGCTCAAAATCTTCACCACTTCTTGGGAGGTCAACTCCTCGTCATTTGTCGCTTGTGTTGCGTAGAGGCCAGGTGGGTTGCTTTGGCTTTGGGTTGGGGTGGGTTGGGATTGGGTTTGGACGACTCTCTTTTTCACCATGTTCCACCACATCCACCACATCAGACATCCTCCCAAATCGAAAGGCGGAATGCTACGAACAGACCCCGGACCAAGGTTAGTTTTTCCAACGCAGCCTCGCGCGACATACAGGGACCAAAGCTCCATCTTCAGAAGGTCAGTCCCAAAACATCCAAAGCCCTGCGCCACCTATCAAGCTTTGCTCGGCACATGTGGGTTGTTTCCAAAAATGATACTCGAACAATTATCGAGACAAACATGTTCATCATCCCACGCGAGTCAGCTTACCCAACTGCACGTCTAAATGAACATCCCTCAAGAGATGCACCCGACGATGCATCGTGATTCAGTCCCTTGGTCCCTCTTTCATTTTGCAGTAAAGCTACTGGCTGTGCTAAGTGAGACCCCGCACTGTTCCTCGGTGCCGGCTTCGCCGATGTCTGGCCGACACTGAGGGCTGAGTCTGCGACTCCCTCTATACTGCAAGTAAGGCTGTTCGATGCTTGTCATAAGCACACCACCGACACCCGTCCAAAGAAATTGTGGTTCAACTAAGTCCCCGGCACGGACGGGCTATCTTGAGAAGTTAGCAGGACAAACCTGGAGCAAAACACACAAACGTTTGTACATAAGAACATGGATCAACTTCCAACTCACGAAACTGTAGGCGAGTGAGCAATGTCCGTACCGAAAAAGAATAGTTTCTGTAGTGAATATTTGCCTGGCATCAACACCCTTTTCATCATCATGTTTGTGTCAACGTACTTTGCGTTTTTCGTCGCGTGGTTCCACTTGCGTCCCTGACGCAGACGGGCTGGCAGTGAGCAGTGCCGACCTTGGATGCAAACATCTGAAACAAAACCCATGACTCATGCCGGACCAAAAAGCATTCGATCATGAGAAACGCTGGAACACTTGTTCCACCTCAACAGGTCAGAGCGGAACTTGTTCCGCTCTGAAAAAATGTTCTTTTGTTCCCGTATCACTCCGGCCATAATCTGTGGCGACTGTCCTTGCAATGCAGCAAGTGCAGGAATGGAGGGTTGACACACGGTATTCCCAAAACAACGACCCATATGGGTAGGCTGAACTACGAATCATCAAAGGAACTTGGGCGTGTTGGGCGGCAACGGGTCAACGTCATCTGGCAAGGTCGGCTGCAAAGACTGCTGGGAAGTGCCCAGTTTCGGCGCAAGACCTCGAAAACAACACCAGTTGGCAACCAGAATCTTGCAACGCACCTATTTCTATGTGTTTTCCGTCTTGTTTTCTAATAAATATGCGCTGTCTCCCATTTCCTCATTTGCCGAACCCGGCCCTACTCCAAACTTGACCAAGCACCACCAGAGATTCCTTCAAGTTGTGCACCTCCATCGAGTTCAATATCCCTGGCCAGCTGAGAAGCGACTTGAAACCGACACATGATGAAACTTAACATGTCCCATTGGTTCCATATGATGCCATATGAGTAGTTGGCACGGGCTCACGCACGCCTTTGTTTGCAAGCACGCGTCCGTGCGCATAAATCGTTCATTCGGCGACCTGCCTCAGCCAACCTGCATCGGCGAGTTGTTGCCGAAGAACTTGGTGCTGGGCATCGATCAACTCGTGCAAGCTCCGCCTGCACCAAATTGCTAAACGCCAGGACCCCAGAGCACGAGGACACAGTTCCACCATCTAAAGAAAAGCGATCATCTGCTTGCTAGAGATATGCCAGGTGAAGGCTCAATGCAGTATACCCACAGTTCATGCCAAAGCACTGGTGAGCAGCCAGCACGGCAAAAACATTCGCCATAGCGGGAGGAATGCCAGCTATCGAAACAGTGCTCCTTATGTTTTCTTAGCGTTGCTTAATTACGAAGAATTGCACTGAAAACGCGACAGTTGGCAAGACATTGTGAGCGCAGTGCCCATACGCAGAGATTGCAGTTTTTGGCGGAACTTGCCATGGCCCCAGAAAGAACTCGGAAAAAAACCCAGATATGTCCAGGAATCCAATTTAGGCCTCAGCTGCAAGCCACACGTCAAAAGAACCGAAACTTCCAGCCAACCATGTGATGTTTGTTCATGTTCACGTCGTAGCATGGACATTGCGCCACGCCGCATTGCGCCGCTCATTGCGCCGCCGCCACCCCGCGAGATCCAAACTTATCCCGCCAGCAAATGACCAACCACTAAAGAGGACATTCGCACACCTACCACTAAATTTTGCGCGGCCCGCATAAGCTGCAACAATGCAAATTTGCTTGCCAGGGACACGCTTTTCACATTTTAATGCCCATGTTGAAATGCAGGGGGTGTCCTAAGGGAGATTTCATAGATATGAAACGGCAGGGCCAACCCCTGCAAATACAAACGATGTAAAGTGGTCTGGGCTGAGGTAAATGGCCTCTCTATGGAATCACTCTGTCTGTGTCACCAAAATCAACAGACTGAAAGAAATCCTTGGCTTTGCGCACGTGTGTTTTCATCTTTTCTATCGCACTCATCAGGTTCAAACCTGCAAAGAGCCTTTCTTTCTGACAAAACAAGGTGTTAAAAGATCTCTCACTCACAGCACCTGTACAAAAACGAAAAAGTATTTATCTAAACTTTCAACAACAATTGAAAATAGAGCAAGCCTAAGCTCCACGGTATCTCCTACATACCCCAACTAATCCATTTAAAAAAAAAGGAACTCACATGCATCCTTGGATTAACTATCTAAGGTACCCCTCATGAATCAACGTCTGAATCTCCATTTTAGGAAACACAAGATTTGACCTTCAAAGCGCGCGACACCTGAGTGGGGTCGATCCCATGATTAAGGATGTGCGTGTCCCAACTTCATAGACGTGCAAGGCCTGAAACGCACACAGAAACCACTGATACTGTTTTGTGGCAAAGCGTACAGGTTCTGTAGAATGTAGTCAGCCACTCAAAAACATAAATGAACCAGGGGCCAGCCCCCCCACTTCGCACTCAGCCACTCCAAAGAAGAGGCGCACCAGGAGGTCGTCACACCCATTTCATAAAGAGTGAGAACAGGAACGGCCAGGTTTTGCAATTTTATGCCGTGGTTGTTCCTGTTAAATGTAGTGTACCATCATTGTGGCCAATTCACACACGTTCAAATCCCATCAAGTCCCCACACCAGCATGTACCCAGCATGTATGGATGCGGAGGTATGTGTGACATGACAGCCAGCTTTTGAACAGCAGCAGCAGCAGCAGCAGCAGCGCCCACACCCACACCCGTTTGCTACAAAGCAGGGTCTCACTGCTGGATACTGAGCTCACCAAACTGATCCATTCACATCAAATTACTATGGCTGGCGAGAGTCAGCCCCACCATTTTATAGAGGGAGAATGGGGTAGAGTGGGCTGTGGGTTGAAAACGAGAATAATTTTTGCCAACAAGGTCAACCTCCCCATTTTATAGAGGGAACTGTGGGCAAGATTTGTAGCGACCATAGTGGAGCAAAACCATTTAGCTTGAGTTGTGGAAGTCATGACCAGGGCTTGGGTGGCTTGGGGTGATTCACCTCGATGTTCCCACATCTGGAACACAACATCTCAGTGGCAGGGCAGCCATTTCTTTTCATATGAAAGTTGCAATATGTCGCAACTGATTTTTGATGCCCACTCAAAACTAAAAACCCTTGCAGTTCCCTATGAAATCCCGGGCTGTCCTCCCTCTAGCGGGGCCACCTGAAACGTGGTACAACACACGAGGACCTCCTCATTTTATATAGGAAATGGTCACAGGTACAACTTTTTGTTCTTGCGCTGAAAGGTCGGGTCCAAACCTGCAAAGTGACAACGTGTATTTATATACCGGCGCCCACCGGATGCGCAGGGCTGGGCAGCCACGGCTGAAGTCAAGGGCGAAAAGCAAAACGGCTGACAGCAGGAGGCTCGGAGACCGGTGCTGCCCGTCGACGTTGGAGAAACCGGGCGGATCGTGCAGGAGCAGGCTTGCTGCAATGCAGGGCGGCATCTTCAGCGGACGCATCAACAAACACATCTGCAATGTGAAATAGACAGGCGCCCGAATTTTTGTGAGTCACGACGTTGCAAGATGAATTTTGCATGCCTGAACCCCAAGACTCAACACGTGGGCAAAGGATGGGGTCGGTGAGGGCAAAACCTCGGCCAGTAGACCCACAAAGCCGCCTGCCGTGGAGGTTTGGAGACAACATGAGACAAACTGCTCTGATTTTGCAAACGTTGGGTCCCAGGCCCAGGCACTTGACTCCGGGCCATCGGACTTCCCAATGCCAGAGCGCACAAACGGGCACAGGTTATATGAAAAAGGTGAAACAAACCACCATTGACAAGCGACGCTCACCAAGGTCATTGGCGAAAAGGAGTTACAGCTGCGGGGCTTGCTGGGTTCACCTACAAGGAGTAGATCGACACTGACTGGCCAAATCCTCAAGGCCAGCCGTCGAGCCAGAAGAGAGCCTTCACGAGGCCTTGGCCAATTGACGTTTGGATGACGTCCACGTCGAACGTCCCAGAAAAAGCACTCCTTCATGATTCGGCTTTTAGACACCCGTTCGTCGACCACTCAACCTCCAAAGCCGTCACGACGAGAAGAACCGTACGACGCCCTGACGTCAGTCACCGTTGTGGGTTCCAAAGACGAGGGGGAATTTCCGTCGGGGGCCCCGGAAACAATTCCAAGAGCTTGGCCACCACCTCGAGCTGCGCCAGTCCAGGATGTGGTATGCCCGTTCGGGCCCATCAGCCTTCAAGAGTTGCGTGTTGATGACACGCGGGTTCCCGTGAACTGGGATCGCAAACAACTCGGAAAAATTAGTTGCAGTCAGCCGAAGCGTGCATGCGTGGCAAACTGAAATTCATCTGGGGTCCACTTCATTTCATTTCCCGGCGGGCCCCTTCAAGGCACAGGCGGGTGAACTGAAATTAATCGAAGACTAACTATTTACATTTCAGTAGCGGCGCAGGACAAAATTTGCAAATGCATTGCGCAATTGTGCACACTGTTGTCAGTCTGCTGCGAGCAATGTGCAAGGATCAAGTTGTTTGCATCGGCAGAAATCCTCAAGTTTCGAGTGCCAGGTAAAACGTGGTCTGCCAACAGTTCCTTTCCTTGGAGGGTTCCAATTCAAAATGCGCTTTGCCCAGCTGTTGCCCGGCAAATTCGCAATGTACATTGCAAACTTCCACTGTTGTTGCAGTGCCACCTCTCCCCACGGACGAATTCCGGATTGAATCATGAATGCAACAACACGTTCATTCCACAAATGAAATATCTGGTGCAAAGG